TTCATTCACAACATTTTTTTACATATGATATAAAATATATACAATCACAAAACTAGAAAGAAACTCAATTATGTAGATGAAATTGAAATACTGTAGGCGGGCAGCCCTACCGCGTGGATGCGCCCCGCTCGGCCGTAGGCAGTTATTTCAAGGACAGAGCCGAGTCACAATACTGTATAGATAATATTAACGTGGTTAAAGTTTGGTGCACACATCAGTTAGGAAACAGATTGGTACGGAACCGCACCACCTCACTCGACTCAGACCGTTTAGTAAGTATTATTTGTATGAAATTCAATGTTGTTTTTACTTATATACACCTTATCGGTATCGTATCGCCTCGGTTACTAAACCCTCAGCGAATGTACAACTAACTAGGGCGTATTTTATACGAGTTGCCCCCCTTGTTGTTGACCCGTAGAAATGTGCTTATTGAAGTGATAACTTCTTATGGGAGGGTGAACCGCTTCGTTACGTAACGCGTTATGGCGCCAGTCTGTCTGGCTTCTATTCGCCGCGAAGGAAATAGACGCCACATCTCGCCCAGGTACCAGAAGGGCGTCCCCAGATACACCCCATTCCCTAAACTATCAATCCCCACTATCACCCACCAATCCCCTATTAACACCCATCAATCCCTACTATCACCCAACAAGCCCTTATCGAATCCCTCGAATCCCTAGTATTTAGTTCATAGTATTGTATCCTATGGCATTATTCTCTGGAACACAGCAGTAGATATCGAAGCGTATCGTAACGTAACGCGTTACGACGCCAGTCTGTCTGGCTTCCCTTCCTCTCGCACACGCTTTTTCTTATCTCTGTTGTGGGGGCACCGCTTGTGAACGTCTCTGGGCCACAGCCCCACCTGCCCTGCCTTAAATCCGGCCCAGGTGTACGCTGTTACGGCCGTAGATGACCATTACAGCTGTCAGATTCTTAGGGGACCTGAAGGAAATGCCGATTGGTGCTAGTGGTTTTCTAGACGAAGGGCACTTCCCCGTGAAGCGGGTATCCGCTCCGCGCGGAAGAGTCACTAGGCAAGTCAAGCCCGAGTGAGGTGGTGATCCGCTCTGGTTCACAATTTGATACTATGTAAACGAATCACCAACCACACTATGTCCGAATTTGTTTTTTGTCTGAGTTGTCAGCAACTCGGGTGCCTATTTGAATCTCAAAAAGCAAGCTTTTAGACAGTTTTTATTTTTAACTTTTAGTTTTAATGTTTATATCTATATTACTATACCTATATTTTTATGATCAAGGGTTCGGTCCTCCGGTTTGTCCTACTTGTGGGACCACGGTATACCACTACTTTGTAACTACCCGTGAAACCCGTGGTTCTACCGTACTAGGGCGATTACTATGGTATCGATAAATGTATGTTTCATGTAAATTAATTTATCTCACAACAATTTTTTTGTTCATCTGTAGCATGTCGCATTACATTTGAGATCTTATCAACAAGCATCGGTAGTAAAATAGTAGAAAGCTCGTCTCCTACTCGAGTGGCCCAGGTTGGATTCCCAGCCAAGGAATGATTTTTTAAAATTTATTTATTAAAATCGCAAAACCTTCACTTGCTTAGTTTTATAAAACCACACCTTTGTATGTCTTTACCTAATAACGTGCCATTATTTAACTCATTCTGTCCAAAGAAATATGATCTGATATAACATTCCATTATTATTATTTAAGTTTACTGGCTTACTGCCTTGGTTATAACTTTTATCTTTAGAATATGAATTGCTGAATGTATGACAGTTTACAAATTAGTAGGTATTTTATTTTTGTTTATTGCGGTAAATGTCTAATTTGGTGTCTGGTGATGATCGATGTATTTTTTTTGGTGAACTATACAAATATAAATAGAAAACATGCTTATCTGTGTGCTTTTCTTTTCCTAATAATAGCTACCTACTACCATCATCAACCTATTGATGTCCCCACTGCTGGGGCACAGGTCTGCTTCGGGTCTTCCAAAGCACGGGTGAGTTCGAAATAGCACAATTTGGTCGTCGCTTAACTTCAACGATTGCAACCAAACGCGCTATCGAGCTCCTCTTCCGCATTGAATATCTCCCAACAGACGCATTTTATGGTTTCTAGCACTCCCAGTCCAGTAAGATTTTTTTTTAACTCTGCTTCCAAGGAACTTAAGTTTTTCATTCTACTTTCTATACATAATCATATTTTAAAATAATGGTGTATGTGAATGATACTTTAAAAACATTTTGAATAGTACCTATTACTTATAGATAGGTAAGTGGAAAAATATTTATTTTGCCATTTTCAAAAAACCGGGATGTCATCGAAATTCATCTATGTCGAAATATCTTTGCACTTATATAGTATTTTTTTCTATAATTTGCATATTTTAATATTTTTATTCCCAGAAAAATAAATTAAAGACATGGTAAAAAACATGGACTTATAACAACAGAGTCCCGGTAAACAATAAACTGTGTCGCTCAGAGTCGGCCAGGTCGCTGTACGTACAAGCCGGCACGCACACATTCACACAATAGTCAGCCATAGAGGTGGGTCGTCGACGTATTTTTCGTCGACGAAACTAAACCGTCCACTACCGTCCATCGACGAGTCGATCAACTAGTTTAATTCTTCAACTAGTTGACGTGATAACGGCAAGTGTTGAGGGGTTCATATCAACTACGCGGTGACTGGTCTACGGGCGCGACGCAACAACGACGACGGGGTCTTTATTTAGTATTCACTTTACATTATAGTCTTTTAAATCTTTACAAAATAAATTACAAATTAAACTCATAAAATAATCATTCAATTCAAACGAACTTTGCACTAAATTCGCATTCACGTGTCCCTTGACCTTGACCTCGCGACACACTAATTTCAAATTTCAATAAACAAAACTGCAACTACTTGAGGTAAACAATTATTATAAACCCGTTCATCCTGCACTGCATCGTTTAGCCAGATCCGCCTTAGCCTTTTCACTCTAACAACTCTAGTTTAAAAAACGAACAAATATCAACTTCCAAGCCATATGCTAAAGTTTCAAATTGCTTTATTTCAACGAATGAACGAACGTATGGACTTGTAACCGGTAAACCGGATACGTTTACGCGTCGACGTCGCGTTGTCAGTAGATATTAACGCTGTGGACTCTCAGTTTAGCCGTCTATGAATTCAACTAGTTAACGAATAAACTGTAGACCGTCGAAGCGTCGATTGAACGTAGACCGTCTATTTAAACCGTTCGTTAATTCAACGCCCATCACTAGTCAGCCACTACGCGTGCAAACGTCAAAGCAGCCGACACGTTTTGTGGAGATAAAAAATTTAGCTTGTAAAAAGGTGTAAAAACCGTAGTGACCGAAAGAAAAAAAATCCAGGAATCACGTTTCATAGGTAAATGAATAATTGAATCGCTTTTTTCTAGTTTTTAGAAATCGAAATCAATTTTAATTCTAAGGGCAAAATGATTAGTCTAAAGCCCAGTGTTGCCAATGTTCATGTAACCTGTAATAACAAAAATATGGGAAATTGGGTTGACATTAACTTCAATCTATTATTTATTATTCTTTTTTATCAGATTTCCTAAAGAAAATGTAGTATGGAGAAATTACTGGAAAATGAATGATTTCCAAACAAATATGTAGTAGTGTCATTTTTAGTCTTCATTTTGAAGCTCAAGACTTATATACATTATTATTACGTATGCATTACCTCAAAAGGTTGATTAAATTTTTTACCGACTTCGAAAAGAAAGAGGTTCGCAATGCGTCATATTTGTTTTTTTGATTCGTGAACCGTTTATGATGATTCTTTTTTTGTTTTAATCAGTTTACTAGCGAGATGGCTGCATATTAATTTACTGGAGATCTGATGAGTACTTTCGGAGGAAAACAATGGAACTCCTCAATTACAAACAGTACTCAATGGGTGTTAGTTTATTTTAAGAAATATGAAAGAGAATGCAGACTAGTCCACCTATATTTAGTTGATTTACCCAATATTGAGATAATTCGATACATTCTAGAATTTCTAATGAGTCCCGAATGTTAAAGTAACTTTGTTCCTTATTAAACAGAATTCTAGACTACTGGACTTGTTTTTTTGTTTTTAGTACATTTTTTTTATTTTTGACATTTTAATTTCATTATTTTTTAATTATACGAGTTGTATATTTTCTAAATATTCTTTTAAAACCCTTCACTTTGATATCTCGCTTGACGGGTTATAAAAATACTTATACTTTTTTTTCAAAATGTTTTATTTTGGCGCATAAAATCTGTTATTTTGATTTTTTGAAATTTTCATATACCGAGTGCCACTCACACAATCACGACAAATCAAATGACACCTCGCATGTCAAAATCCGTCAAGACGTTCAGGCTGTAGGGCGTGCCAAATTATTGGACATACATACATACATGCATACATACGCTCGAAAAACATTATCCTCCACAGTCGGGCAAAAAATATAATTTTGAACAATCAAAATATTTTCATGTTTTTACTGTGTTTTATTGGTAAAAAATTGGCTAACCTAGCAACCCTACGATTCACTCACTCATCAATAGCCGCCGCCATTACGGTGCCTCAGTATTGTCTTAGCCGAAACTCTGTCCGCCTTTTTTATACGTCCATGGTAAAAAATAAAACCATCATAATACCCTCTCAAAGAGATAAAATTAGAATCTCTCATTTCAAACGTTCCACTTCCACATTGGGTATTATGGCTCCATCGTTATGCACGATGATTCTGCCAATGTCAGGGTATTTCAAACGTTTTATGCGTAAAAGTAATTGTACGCAGTTCTGTATGTATAGTACGTTCCATGATCTATAGTTTTTTCTTTAATAATATGCTTGAAACGGAATGAACAGGCAATGATATAATTTGACACTGACAAGTGACATTTTGGAAATTGACATTTGAGAAAAAAGCAGACTGACGGCTTGAGATTGAGAATTTCACCTTGTTTGTTATTTCAATTGCTATCTAAAATAAAGAGATGGCTTCAATTCTCCAAAGAGCTGCTATCACGTACCTAAGAAACAACGCACGTGCATCAACACACTCTGCCACCGCTGGAGGACATGGAGGTAGATCGATTTTCTTATTGAAATTATGTAACCACATAACCTATTCTCTTTGTTATCTTTAGTCCTCAAAAAACCTCAACAGCACAATAAGTTACTTATTTAGATTATTTACAAATTTTCTGTACCATACAGCAGTGGTAATTTTACCTTTATTTATTAAGAAAAAATGGATTAATAAGGTACTGTTTTACATGGGTACCTAGTAATTTTTAAGCGGTGTTCTCTACAATATCGTGTTAGATACTTTGACAGGTGTGCTTCCTTATCTGTTCACCAGAAGAAGAAAATACTTGTAAAACACTGTTCTAACCAAATAACAATTTTCTGGTGTGTTGTTTTCATAATTACCTACTGTGAGTTAGCTCCACGAGATAGGGACTAAGTTACAGACTAGAAAAACAAACATTGAAAATAAAGAAATAAATTGTAGCTTACATAGTATGAGTCTAGTAAAGTGGGGTAAACCAAAAACCTGACCTGCGAAATGAATTAATGAATTTTTATTCTGATGACGCAGTCTGAAAAGAATGTGCAACATCAAAAAGTTATTAAAAAATACATTCTGAACCCATTTAAGAGTGTTTTATTCAGAGAAATTAACTTGAGAGACCAGGACGTCTATCTATAACTCTATTCATTAGAAGATAAAGTAAATTTGACATTTTCTGATTATAATCCATATAAATTAGATTTGTTAATTATATTTTTTTTTGCATGTGCAGGTGGCTGGCAGTTATGGAAGAAACTTTCTTTCTTTGTGGGAATGCCTGCTGTCGGCCTTGGTATGCTGAACGCCTACCTGGCTCATGCTGATGGTCACCATGAACATCCCCCTTTTGTCGCATATGAGTACTTGCGTGTTCGTACAAAGGTAAAGAAATAATTTAATACATTTATATTTGTGTAAATTTTATTTGGAGGTATTTCTTTTAAACATTGAAAACTCCATTTTAAGTTGAGCAAACCTTTACAGATTCAGAATCATGCTCATATTCCTCCATTAAAATTGAAGTGAATTTCTTAAGTTAAGTGCACCCATGGCACACATATTAAAGACTTTTTAAGGATAACATGACTATCAATAAAATATATGGCTTTTAAATTTATTTTTTGCAGCGTTTCCCTTGGGGTGAAGGCCAGAAATCACTCTTCCATAACCCCGATGTCAATGCGCTGCCCGGTGGGTATGAAAATGATCATTAGGTAGTGGACATTTTCATCAGCTATTGTATTGGGTCTGCTGAGTTGATAAACCTATGTTGTATAGTTTACAAAATTGTATTGTAATAAGTTAATAAATATCAAAAAGTCACATAATATGTTATTATTAAATCATAATATATTTTTATAATTGCCCATTTCAAACTGCAAGATCTCTCTATGCTTAGCTGAACATCATTTGTGGTATAGATACAGCATAAACATAGATTTAGTTTATGAAAACTGACAGTAGTAGTTAGTGTAGGAGCACACAATGCGTTGCGACGCGGCACCGCAAAGATTTCGCAAGAAATCATCCTGTCACAACAATCCTACAAGGTAGAAAGAGCTGCCAAAATTTTTCAGAAAGAGCTGGCAACGCCCTGAAAAGCCGTACGTTTCATAAAGTTCTGTGAAACAAAGAAAACAATGCTAATACAATAAAATTCAGTTAGAGCAAACGCGCGTCGAGCCACTAGTGACTCAGTCAAGTCACTAGATGCAGCTACTGATCGCCGCTGCCAGTGGCTTTCCGTTCATTAACGTCGAGAGTTTGCAGGGGTCGAACGAGTCGTGGCCAGTTGGAAATCGGCTGCCACGACTACGCCCGCACTCCCAGCGCGCATTGGGGGTACCTCGGTCCCCAGAATGTGTGCCGGGTAGAGGATTCGATCCCGGTCGGTTTTTCTAATCCAGGGTTTTCGGGTTTATCTACAGTTAATCCCGGGATTGTATTGATAATAGAAAGTGGTAAGTAACACAAAGACAGTAAACCATATCAAAATCAACTTTTTATTTTAAATCTTAAAATAACAAAACAAAATTAACTTCCTTTTGATAAAATAAACAAACCATGTTATAAAATAGTTTCATAAATTATTTACAGAATTGTGCCTAGTTTGTTTATACTATTTTACAACAAATTTAAAAAAATCAGCTTCATAAGACTTGTTTAGATATAAGTACTGTAAAAAAGACTACAGGTGGTCCTTCATTATTTATTGCCCGTTGAGGAATATGCCTTAGCAGAATCTACTTTCACGGAATGTTTTGAAGATAGATAAGTATGCCTTTAGTTGATCCTCCTAAGGTCCTTTAAAATAGTTAAGCAACGCTTTACATTGTGCTGAGCTACCCGCTTTATCGACTAAAAAATCCTTGACATCAAAACTTTCTTTGGATAATGATATTGTTTACTTCAATTACTTCATAAACCTAAAAAAAATTAAAAGAACATTTAAGTCTATGGACCACATAAACATAAACCTCTTAGAGCTACAGAAAACAACAACACTCCACTCGTTGTTTGATATCTATATTTACTCAGACACATTAATGCATTGGTTGTTTTTTAATAAATTCATTGATTATCACATTATCAAAAAATATCAATACTTATAATGCGATTCAACTAAGAATTAGACTTGCAACGAATATTCGGTTACTATTCGGCATTCGGCTGCTTTTATTATATTCGGCCGAATACCGAATATCTACATATTATTCGGCCGAATACCTACCGAATACTTAAATAATGTATTTTGTCATAGAGAAATTATTGGTAAAATGAAAAATTAAAATCGATTGATTACATATATTATTTTCATTTCTGTTATATAATCATTTAACTAGTCATTGTACATAACACAGGTACATAATCATCTTCTGAATTGGAAAAATGGATGTATTTGAATTATTGTGGTAATCCTGGGCCATCTTGTTAACACAGTTGACTTCATTTATTTTTGTTAACGACCGGTAGCGGACTATGTGTAAAAGTGTGTAAAAAAATCTTTTCACGTCGTGTATATTGCGATTCAAATAAGAATAGGAAAGCCAATGACCTCTCCATCTGTCAAATGTCGCTTGAAAAGTACGCCTTGCAAAAAAAAATGGGTGCGTGAACTTATGTAGGCGCGTGAGAAGTTATCCTTCTTTGGCATCGTTTAAAATTAGTTTTTAATTGCATGCAAATAATTAATTACAATAAATTAATAAAAAGTCTGGAAAAGGACACAGTCAATAAAGTTCAGTTTTAATTTGAAAAAATAAATAAATAATCAAAATATTCAATTAAAATCGCTACTGAATATAATTTATTAGAACATATGTGATTTGCACTTGTATGAAACTCAAACACGTATTCCGAATATACAAACTAGAAACATGTCGATATTATAAATATGAATGAACCTATAACTGTTACTTTATTACAAAAAATAAAGATGTGGTTTTTGGTTCTACTACACCAATGGTCAAGAGATGGCGCTGTAGTCTCCTGAATCGCGCTTTGGATCCGTTGTTCCAGATTAATAAATACTTTTGATATTATAAATATGAATACCTATAACTGTTACTTTATTACAAAAAATAAAGATGTGGTTTTTGGTTCTACTACACCAATGGTCAAGAGATGGCGCTGTAGTCTCCTGAATCGCGCTTTGGTTCCGATGTTCCAGATTAATAAATACTTTTGATAGGCCTTCACAATGCAGTCGTTAGCACCCACTAAATAGAGGTTCTATTTCTATTTTGTTGGTAGATTTTCTTAATGTGCGGTAAACACAAAAGTAACAGCATGAAGTTAGTATAAATATGTATATAACTGTTACTTTATTACAAAAAATAAAGATGTGGTTTTTGGTTCTACTACACTAATGGTCAAGAGATGGCGCTGTAGTCTCCTGAATCGCGCTTTGGTTCCGTTGTTCCAGATTAATAAATACTTTTGATATTATAAATATGAATACCTATAACTGTTACTTTATTACAAAAAATAAAGATGTGGTTTTTGGTTCTACTACACCAATGGTCAAGAGATGGCGCTGTAGTCTCCTGAATCGCGCTTTGGTTCCGTTGTTCCAGATTAATAAATACTTTTGATAGGCCTTCACAATGCAGTCGTTAGCACCCACTAAATAGAGATTCTATTTCTATTTTGTTGGTAGATTTTCTTAATGTGCGGTAAACACAAAAGTATCGCTTTAGCGACCAACTTCATGCTGTTAAAATTTTGTGTTACAGTGATGCGCGCGCATCTTAAAATTTCACTCTCATCATTTTTGAAGTTATACTTCTTTAGGCGCGTTTCTTTGTTGCAGGTATTGTGTATATTAGGTACCCTATTAAAACTCTAAGTACTAAAGTATTAAAGCACTAATGCTTTAATCTGCGTGATTTAGGTATATTAATGTATGATATTAACCAGATACTTCGTTTTTATGTAAATAATAAATTTCTTTATACGTAGCAAGTGTTTTATTTTTCTTATGGTCGTCATAAAAATGATGTTTGATAGGCCAACATTGTGTTTCTAAAGTGCACCCGATTAAATTGCTGAAATATCGGGAGCTCACATCTAATAAAAACATGGTAAATATCCCGTTATTGTAATAAATACATATTACAATTACGGGATTACCTTCATAGTGTTAACAATATTTTAGTTTGAGACATTTAAAAAATAGGGAAATTGATGACTTATATGACAACCCCCAAATCACGCACACACGGTAAACGGGCGGCCATTTGCATGCTTCACTCGTGATTAGACGAGGTTACGTCCGTCTTTTTTTTAGGTTCGTGATTTACACTTAGTCGTTTACCCGAATTCCATTGGCAATTGTATTCGGGGTAACGACCAAGTTTAGTTCAGCCATTAGAATGATATTAATTATTTTTCTCGGCTCCGTGAATTCTACATGTTTCTTCAAAATTCCTATTCCAAGAAACACTTGGTATAGGAATAATAATAATATAAACACTCAATATGTTACTATGAAGTCAGACAGAAATCTATATTTCAAAATATGTATATAAATCATAGATAGATTACTTAGTCTCCCTGTCAAACATTCAACTAGGATCTAAGCCGCCAACCAATGGACCGCTGGTGGCTTAGTAGCGGCCACTAGTGGCTTATTGGCGGCCACTAGTCGCCTATTGGCGGCCACTAGTGACTTATTAGCAGCTACTATTGGCTTAGTGGCAGCCAGTAGTGACCCCAGAGTAAGTGCACATTGAGCCACTAGTGGCGGCCACGGCTACGCGTTCGGCCCCTTTTTTTGTGTCTGGGAAATGCCTTACGCATCCTTCAACCACCGGGGGAGCGTGGAGAAGGTATGTGGGACTCCTCCTTGCTCATTACAACCAACCCTTGGGCCGGATAAAATGAGCAGGGCCCACTAAAAACCAGACAATGCCCCTGCACCGTTCACCGTTTAGTCCCGTAATTTAAGGGATTAACTGTAATGAATCTCGGGATTTTTGGGATTGATATATTTTTATACCTTATATATAAAATTCTCGTGTTACAATGTTATGCCTGCTCTACACATAGACAGATGCATCTGCAGATGCCATCTGCGGATGCATCCGCCGACGTGTAGACGGGGTAGTTTGCTCGTCTCTGGTAGGTATTTAACGTCTGCAGATGCGTCTGCGTTCAATCCGTTTGCTGTCGGTTTTTGTGGCACGCAACAAAGGGTTTCAGCGCGAGCGTCCGGCGTCCGTCCACACGTCTCACGACGCATCAGTAGTATCGGAGTTGCGAATGAGAGTGCACGTGTGCTTACAATTTATTTTTTCGTTTGTTAGGCAGGTACTTTCGTTAGGCAAAATGGCTAATATGAGCACTGATGAAACATTTAAATTCCTTGGTTTGTATCAAGCAGAAAATTAGCCGACCTAGTCTCTATTCCACTTACTTTGTTCTGTTTCTGTGTATAGCCAGCATCCACCACCTTCTTTTTATCCATTTCTTTAAAATAACTGTACTGCGATGCACAGACAAGTAGTAGTTAAAAGTGCTAAATAAATAAATAGCTGCGGCAGTTACGGTCTCAATATCCATTTTTTGAAATATGTTGCGTGCGTGCGAGTTGCGTCTGTCGAGAATTAACACAGACTGATCCACCTACAGACGTGTGGTCGGTTCGTGGTGATCCATCTGCCGATGCATCTGACGACGTCCGCGGACGCATCTGTCTATGTGTAGAGGAGGC